GTTGTCCTTCTCCGGTTACTGTGGCCAAGTTCAAAAAGGGTGTTGCCTGAGTTCTCCTCTGGGATTTTGATGGAATCTTGTCTCACATTTAGATCTTTCATCTATTTTGAGTTTATCTTTGTGTATGGTGCAAGAGAGTGGTCCAGTTTCATTCTTCTGCATGTGGATGTCCAATTTTCCCAGCACCATTTATTGAAGAGAGTGTCTTTCTTCCAGTGGATCGTCTTTCCTCCTTTATCGTATATTAGTTGACTATAAAGTTCAGGGTCCACTTCTGGGTTCTCTGTTCTGTTCCATTGATCTATATGTCTGTTTTTGTGCCAGTACCACACTGTCTTGATGAACACAGCTTTGTAGTACAACCTGAAATCTGGCATTGTGATGCCCCCAGACATGGTTTTCTTTTTTAAAATTCCCCTGGCTGTTTGGGGTCTTTTCTGATTCCACACAAATCTTAAAATAATTTGTTCTAAGTCTCTGAAGAAAGTCCATGGTATTTTGATAGGGATTGCATTAAACGTGTAAATTGCCCTGGGTAACATTGACATTTTCACAATATTAATTCTGCCAATCCATAAGCATGGAATATTTTTCCATCTCTTTGTGTCTTCCTCAATTTCTTTCAGAAGTGTTCTATAGTTTTTAGGGTATATTTTGAGAACCATTTGAATGGTAAATGGTTCTCCAACCTTTTATTTTCAGGTTGTAGGTGTCCTTCTGTCTAAAATGAGTCTCTTGTAGACAGCAAATAGATGGGTCCTGCTTTTTTATCCAGTCTGAAACCCTGCGCCTTTTGATGGGGTCATTAAGCCCATTCACGTTCAGAGTTACTATTGACAGATATGAGTTTAGTGTCATCATGATATCTATTTAGTCCTTGTTTTTGTGGATTGTTCCACTGAACTTCTTCTTAAAGGGGAGTTTTAAGAGTCCCCCTTAAAATTTCTTGCAGAGCTGGTTTGGAGGTCACATATTCTTTCAGTTCCTGCCTGTCTTGGAAGCTCTTTATCTCTCCTTCCATTTTGAATGAGAGCCTTGCTGGATAAAGTATTCTTGGTTGCATGTTCTTCTCATTTAGGACCCTGAATATATCCTGCCAGCCCTTTCTGGCCTGCCACGTCTCTGTGGAGAGGTCTGCTGTTACCCTAATATTCCTCCCCATGAAAGTCAGGGACTTCTTGTCTCTTGCTGCTTTAAGGATCTTCTCTTTATCTTTGGAATTTGCAAGCTTCACTATTAGATGTCGAGGTGTTGAACGGTTTTTATTGATTTTAGGGGGGGATCTCTCTATTTCCTGGATCTGAATGCCTGTTTCCCTTCCCAGATTGGGAAAGTTTTCAGCTAGGATTTGTTCAAATACATATTCTGGCCCTCTGTCCCTTTCGGCGCCCTCGGGAACCCCAATTAAACGTAGGTTTTTCTTCCTCAGACTGTCATTTATTTGCCTTAATCTGTCTTCATGGTCCCTTAATTGTTTGTCTCTTTTTTCCTCAGTTTCCCTCTTTGCCATTAACTTGTCTTCTATGTCACTCACTCGTTCTTCCACCTCGTTGACCCTCATCGTTAGGACTTCTAGTTTGGATTGCATCTCATTCAATTGATTTTTAATTTCTGCCTGATTGGATCTAAATTCTGCAGTCATGAAGTCTCGTGAGTCCTTAATGCTTTTTTCTAGAGCCACCAGTAGCTGTATAATAGTGCTTCTGAATTGGCTTTCTGACATTGAAGTGTAATCCAGATTTTGTAACTCTGTGGGAGAGAGGGCTGTTTCTGATTCTTTCTTTTGAGGTGAGGTTTTCCTTCTAGTCATTTTGCTCAGTGCAGAGTGGCCAAAAACAAGTTGTATTGGAACACGGGGGAGTATCACTGGTCCGTCCAGCTGGTCTTCTGGGGGAGGGGCCTGCTGTGCTGATTTTCAGGTGTTAGCACTTGGGGGAGCTGCTCTGCCCCTGCCTGCTGCAGGGCTCAGCGGGGGTTGTTTACCCCGTGGGACCCAGGGAGGAACAGCCGCAGTTGCTATGGCAACTCTGGAAGCCTGGATTCAGCCTCCGCAGGAACTACAGGCTCGGGGCTCTCGGTTCTCCCTCTGCAGGGCCTGGAGGCTCCGGGGCGGGGCCGCTGATGTGCTCAGCTCGGGGCAGGAGCGTCCTTGCTTCCTGGGCCCTCCCGGCCTCTGCCTGTCCGGGGGAGGCTGGATCTTGGGCTGTGTCCCAGCGCCCTGTGCTCCGGGGCCTGCGCTGGTGGATTCGCGCTCCCGCCCTGCAGCTCCCTCCCTGGAGCCGCCGCCCAAGCCCCTCTGAGCTGCTCCGTTCGGTCCCGCCGTGCGCGCTGCAGCCCTTAGGGAGCTCGGAGCACTCTCCTGCGCTCGCAGGTGTCTGTTAGTGTCCCAGGGAGCCCGAGGGCATCCCCGCCCTCCTGGGTCCTGCTCCAACTCCCTGCGAGCCCCTTTCCGCCCGGGAAGGTTGGTGCAGCTCCTGCTCCTCCGGGACGGGACTCTCCTGTCCTGGGGACACTCGCCCCGGCCTCAGCCCGGCTCCTCGCGGGGCCCCTCCCCCTCGGAGGCCTTTTGTTCCTTTATTTCTTTTTCCCCATCTTCCTACCTTGATAGAAGCGCGGACTCTTCTCACTGTAGCATTCCAGCTGGTCTCTCTTTAAATCTCAGGCCGAATTCGTAAATTTTCAGGATTGTTTGAAGGTTATCTAGGTAATTTGGTGGGGACAGGTGATTTGGGGACCCTGCTCTTCCGCCATCTTGCCCCTCCCTCCAACATCTGTGTTATTTCAGTGTTGGGATCTCCTTCATGTCTTTTCCCATTCAAGTTGAGATTTTCCTGGTTCTTGGTATGACATCTAATTTTTCATTATGTTCAGGACATTTGAGTATTACATTAAGAGGCTCTGTAATTTATTTAACTCTTGTGTTTTAATAGGCCTCCCTTGACAGAGCTCCATTTGGTAAAGGGAGATGTCACCTCATTCATTACTGCTAGGTGGAGATGGAAGTCCAAGTTCTTCTGTTTGGGGGGTGTCTTTTTTTTAATGGTGAGGGGAGGAGCTGAGGGAGGAGGAGAGAGAATCTTAAGCAGGCGCCAAACCCATCTTGGAACCTGTCACGGGGCTCGATCTCACAATCCTGAGATCATGACTTGAGCCGAAATCAAGAGTCAGACGTTTAACCAACTGAACTACCCAGGTACCCCAGGATGGGCTCCTTTTTATTGCCTAGTGGGAGTAGGAGTTCATGCTTCCCACTAAGCCTCTATTGATATCACCCTGACTGGGAGGGAGAGGGGTACCTTGTCACTGCTTCCCATTTGATGTCCATTGACACTATTGGCAGAAGTGCCCTTGTTACTGCTGTGCCCTGGTGAATGCTCCCATAGGCCTCCCCTGACATCAGTCAGTGGGGAGGAGGAAAGACACTGTCATTTCTGGGTGAGGGTGGAAGCCCACACTCCCCACATCATCTCCACTGTCCCCAAAGGGTGGGGGGAAGGAGGCAGCAAGGAAGAAAGCTCCAGCACCCTAATGGTCTTTCTCCGATACCACCTGGGCAGGGGGTAGAGGGGGGAGGGGCTGGGGATACCTTCTTATAGTTTGTCAAGGGTGGAAGTCTAAGCTCTCCACTTGGCCTTTGCTATTAGTATTGGTGGTGGGCCCCCAGTGGTTTTTGTGGTATTTGGCCTGAGTAGAGCCATCATTGTCTAAAAGTTTTCTGTCTTGGTAGGCTGCCTCTTTCCTGGTCCTTTGACTAGAGAGAGCAGGCTTTTCTTGGGGCAGTTTTTGTCTGTACCCTTTGGCCTTTCTAGGTTGCTGGCTTCTTCAGCACCAAGTCTAGGATATATGAGGCTAAAAGAAAACCCAGAGAACTCACTGCCACATAATTTTGGAGGTCTCAGGATCACCAGCCAATCTGTCCTCTTCACTCCACCTTTCAGAATCTTCCTATGTTTTATATATAATGTCTACATTTTTTAGTTGTATTTAGCAGAAAGAATAGGTAAACTAATATCTACTCCCATCTCCAGAAGAGGGAGTCCCTATAATTATGATTTTTAAAAAGATTTTATTTATTTATAAGAGACACAGAGAGAGAGAGGCAGAGACACAGGCAGAGGGAGAAGCAGGCTCCCCGTGGGGAAACTGATGCAGAACTTGATCCCAGGACCCCGGGATCACACCACTGAACCACCCAGGCATCCCTGATTTTTAAGACCTTATGCGGTTTTGTACATTTGTGCTGGTTTTATTTGTATATATTGAATGGCCCTAAGGATTTATGCAGAGGCTTCTGTACTTCTTTGTTATATATTTTATTATTAAAAAAGGACCCCTTGGGGCAGCCCGGGTGGCTCAGCGGTTTACCACCGCCTTCAGCCCAGGGCCTGATCCCGGAGACCCGGGATCAAATCCCACATCAGGCTCCCTGCATGGAGCCTGCTTCTTCCTCTGCCTATGTCTCTGCCTCTCTTTCTCTCTGTGTCTCTCATGAATAAATAAACAAAATCTTTAAAAAATAAAAATAAATAAAAAATAAAAAGGATCCCTTTGATAATCTATTGAGTGCTTTGGACTTAATTTCCACCTCAATAATTATATTTCTAGATGTGCTGTCATTTTCTTACATTTGTCCAGTGTATTGTATAAAGTCTTTATTTAATTATGACATAATTCAGAAAACTGCACAGATTATGCATTTAGCTTGATGTCTTTTTTTAAATGACTGAGCAAACATGCACAACCAACCAGATTTAGAAATAGGACATCACTAGCACCCAAGAAACACCCCCTTGTGTTCCTTTCCAATCACTAACTTCCTCCCAAGGGGTACCAACAGCCTGACTTCTAACAGCATAGATTAGTTTTACATGTCTTTTATATTTTTTAATTTTTACATAATTTTATATAGTTTTAATATAAATTATATTTTTAATCATATAAAAATTATAATATAAATTATATAAAATCATATAAATTATATAAAAATAAGTTTATGTAAACATAATCATATTGTATTGATTTGTTGCTCTTTGGGTATGGCTTCTTTGGGCAACATAATATTCATGAGATGAAATTCATGCCTGTCGTGTGTGGCAATTTGCTCATTCTTGTTACTGTATGGTACTTCCTTGTATGAATATAGGACAACTTGTTTATCCATTCTGATGTTGATGATCATTTGCATAATTTTCAGTTTTGAATAAAGCCACTCTCAACATCATCATACTTGTCTTCCAGTCAGTATATGTTCATATTTCTCCTGAGTATATTCCTAGGAGTGGAAGGGCTAGCTCACAGGCTATTGCATGTGTTCAGCTTTTGTGGATAACACCAAACAGTTTTATAAAGTTTTGTACTGTTTGATGCTCCTCAAAAACAATATATTGAGTTTCTATTGCTCATATCCTCACTAGCTCTCTTGGTTATTTTCCATCATTTTCATTTGAGCCATTTCTGGTAGATAAGAAGGATGATCTGATTGTAGTTTAATTTATACTTCCTTGCTAACTAATGAAGTTGAGCATCTTTTCCTATGCTTATTTGCTGCTTGCATATCTTTGGGAAATGTCTCTTTCCTAATAAGAAGTTTACTCTTCTTATTGTTTCTATTGATTTCTAGGAATTCTTGATGTATTTGAGATATGAATTGTTTGTCAGATACTAGTATTACAGTCATCTCCCACTGTGGGATTTGCCTTTTTTTTTAAAGATTTTTATTTATTTATTCATGAGAGAGAGAGAGACAGAGACACAGGCAGAGGGAGAAGCAGGCTCCATGCAGGGAGCCTGATGTGGGACTCCATCCCAGGTCTCCAGGATCATGCCCTGGACTGAAGGTGGCGCTAAACCACAGAGCAACCCGGGGTTGCCCCTGCCTTTTCACTCTTAATTTTGTCTTCTGGTGAATCAAAGTCTTTAATTTTAGTGTAGTCTAATTTAATAACCTTTTATTCTACCAGATATCAAAACTTTAAGATTTTATTTATTTATTCATAAGAAACACACACAGAGAGACAGAGACATAGGCAGGGGGGAAAGCAGTCTCCCTGCGAGGAGACCAATGTGGGACTCCATCCCAGGACCCCGGGATCACAACCTGAGCTGAAGGCAGACGGACAATCAACTACTGAGCCAGTCAGGCTTAAGATATCAAACCTTGATATGAAGCACATTAATTAAGACACTGTAGTATTGGTCCAAGAATAGACTAACAGACCAGTGGAAACAGAGAGGAATGAACCTCCACATAGTCACAAACCAACACTGCAGAGCAGTGGAGAAAAGATAGTCTTTTCAATAAGCTATGCTGGATCACCTTGATATACATATGGAAGAAATGAATCTTGACCCTAACACATATATATATACCAAAATCCTTCCCAAGAAGGCTATAAATAAATGTGAAAGATAGAACAATACAAATTTGGAAGAAAACATTAAACATCTTTATGACCCTGAGGTAGGCTAGGTTTTCATAACTAAGACATAATGAGTGCCAGCCATAACACAAAGAATGGTAAATGGCATGGCATGTTTCTTTCCAGTGCTTCATTTCACATCTTTGTCTTTGTGTTTTAAATGTGTGGCACCTGTATTTTTTTGTTGTTGTTAACCAATCCCAAAGTCGTTATCTTTTATGGCAGGATTCAGCTCATTCAATTTAGTTGAATTGTAGCATAGTAAATTTTGTGCCTTCTATTATTTTATGTTTACTATTTATTTTACTTGATTTATATTTCCACTCTTTCCTTTTCCTATTTTTGCTGGTGTGGTCACATTTCTTTTAATTCCCCTCTAGGTTCTCATTATCTTGGAATTCTGATAGTTTGGAATTTTGATTATTTTTATCAATTTCTGCTAGTGGTTGCCTTCACCTTCCTTACAAATATAATTATCTATATTTTCTCTCTTCTTAGGTCCAATAATGTTGTAATAGTCTTTGGATCTAGTAATAGAGGTAGGTGATTTGCCTTCCCCTCCCCATATCACTCAGTAGATTTTTCCAGAGTGTTTTAAAATTTCCACTTAGTAATAATTTTATTTATTCCATATGCCCAAATACATTATTTTTCTGTTTTCATATGTAACTATATATTACAAGAATCATTTCTCAAGACTGCTATCCTCTGATTTTGAGGTTTCTGTAACTATTCAATTTATAATTGCTTATACTAGTCCCTTGAGTATTCTTTTGAGATAGGAATGGTGGCACTTAATGTTTAGACTTAATATAATGTCTAAAATTGTCTTTTACTCTGACAGAAGATTAGTATTTAGCTAGGATGAGTTTAAAATTCTCAGCTCTAAGCCCCTTTCTCTCAGTAATTTGTAGGTATTTTCTTCTAATATGATTCCTATCACTGCAAACAAAAAGTCTAGTGCCATTGTGAGCCCTTTCCATGTTGTTTTCCTGGAAGTGTTTTAGGTTTTCCTTTATTCTTTAAAGTCAGTGCTAAATCAGATTTGGGGTTGATTTGGTTCCTCTGGAGTCAAGGATTGGGGGGATTTCTGTAGGGAAGGATCAATGAGGTAGGGTCCAATAGGATTAGATAATCTAAAGCCTATTGATGTGATTCATACTGGGGCAGTGAGTGACAGTCTTGGGAAATTCTTGAGGTTTTCTGAGAGTTGGAGATGCAAGTATTAGCATTGAAGTCATTGATTAGCCCATGAGAGTTATTGATTGGAACACTGAGGTAGCGAATGATTGCTTGCAAGCCTGGGATTACAAATTTTGGGGAGTCAATTTTGGTGGCCCTATCCAAATCATTGACTGGGACCTGTGAATATCGGTAAATACAGGACTATGTGAGTTAGTATGTGACAGACTACTATGGGAGGTTTTATGGGAGTCACTAATTCTATATATAGGCTGTGAGTTATGGGATCCCCAAAGGGCACTGAGTAGATCATTGGTTGGTTTTCTATTGAGGGTGTATTGCCTGTGTTGGTGATTATTTGAGGAGCCTATGGAAACCAGTTGCTGGTACCATCTGGGACACAGTTTTGTCAAGCAGTGTGGGTTACTGATTTAGGAGCCCATACAGACATGCTGGTTTTCAGGGCCCAGATGGGAGTTGAGCAAGGGAGGCATTTCGTTTATGTTTTCGTCTATGGCAGAAGAGGGTGGGCTCTCTAAGTTGCCCAGAACATACACTGAATTATACAAAAGTTCAATTTATGCACATATGACATGATCACTCCTAGCTAGAGCACTTTAAGGGCAGCAGGAAATAGAAATCATGTTTTCTGTGACTCTGCCATGCACGGAGTACCATATGGCATAGTAGTTAAGAAAATGTAGCTTGGAACCAGGCATACCTGCACTGGAGTCCCTGTCTTTTCCCCTAATCTGAGTGACCTTGGGGAAAATTTCTTAATATGTCTGAACATCTCTACTGATAGTAAATGGAAATAATAATAATAGAATATCTAGTTCACAGGATGAGTTTGAAAGTTAAATGAGGTACCTGCCTTGCACCTTGTAATAATAACAGCATTTAATATCAATGGAGTATGTTCCAGGTACCAAGTAGGAGTGAGTACTTTAAGAGGCATCGTATCAAAAAAAAAAAAAAAAAGAAGCATCGTATCATTTAATTCTAACAACCCTATGAGACAGGTGTTTTCATCCTCAGTTTTAAGATGAAGAAACTCAGACTAAAGTGACTTCCCCAGATGCTAGCTAGAATGTAGTAGATCTGGAATTCAAACCCTCATTCATTTTATACCAAGCCTTATGAGTATTTGTTTAATATTATACACTAATACTTGGTGTTGGTTTTACCGAACTTCTCTCTTTCACAGTATCCAGCACAGAGAGCTGCCCCCTTGATGCCCCCAGGAAGGATTTGTGGGGGTGAGTGCTGAATGACTGACCACATGGACACTGGCTTTCCAGGGTTTCTTGGAGTCTCTGTGGAGTGCCTGGGCCAGACCCCATAATAGAGGCTATAGGACCTACCTTGCAGCCCCAGCAGCTGATTTGAGTCCACAGGTGCACCCTTGACTTCAGGCTCCCAGAGAGAGCAGAGTCATCATCAAGAGAGCCTGGGAGTTGAGGCCCAGCAGGAACATGTCAGCTAACCGGAGTGCTCCCCAGTGGTCCTCGGTCCTGGCTGCAGAGGGACATGGCAGCTCATGTGAGGTGAGGAGGGAGAGGACTCCAGAGACAGGAATTCATTCTGAGGAGACAGCCCTGACCTGTCACCAGGGCCTCAGGGAAGGGGAAGATGGGTCACAGAAGTGGCAGATTCCAGGCTACCAGGTCACCATCTTTCTGCTGTGTGAGTACCACATCCAGAGCCCTGTATGTTTCAATGGACATGTGATGTGGCTGATGGAGGACATGTGGGATGGGAGTGTCACCCCACATCTGGAGTCGTACCCAAGGAGATGCTACCCCCGACCCCCAGCACAGGCCCTGCACTCTCCATTGGCTCTTTGCAGATGCTCAGCTGATCCCACCCCCCACTCCAGCCTCCTTTCCCCCTTCTCTCTGGGGATTTGCTGATTTCTCCTCTATCCTGATCTAGGGCAGAAAAATCCCTTTCCTCTGGAACTGAGAGAATGGCAGGGTAATAGGACAATAGTCTCAAGGTCCTTCTAGTTCTTCCTTCTCCTTTCAAAGGTGGTAAAATGGCCTGAGAAGGGACATGACTTGCCCAGGCCTCTTGGATTGTGAATAACAGCATTGGACTGGAACCAGGGCTCCTGAATATGTATTCCATCCTTACCATACCACTGCCAAGACCAAGTTGCCCACTAAAAGTTCCTCTCAAGTGGGGCACCTGGATGGTTCAGTCTGTTGGGTGTCTGCCTTCAGCTCAAATCATGATCCTGGGATCAAGTCCTGGAATTGAGGCTCCCCCCCCCATGTCTGGCTCCCTGTTCAATAGGGAGTCTCCTCCTCCCTCTGCTTCTCCTTCTTCCTCTGTCCCTTCCTGCCCCACTTGTGCTTTCTCCCTCTCTCTCAAATAAATAAATAAAATGTTTTAAAAAATAAAAATAAAAGTTCCCCCTGAGAATCTGTAAACAAGGGAAGGCAATGAGAGAGCCAGATCTTGCCTGACAGCTCCCTTCTTCAGACCTTCCTATGGATACTGTCACCTCTGGGATGGGCTCCTTGTCACAGGGACTCAGGGTCATATGGTCATTAGGATAATATTAAACTTTAAAAATTATTTTGATTTTTCTTATTTCATCCTTTCATTAAAAAGTCAGAAAATGCAGGTAAACAAGTAGAAGAGAATAAAACATTATTTGTAATACCAGCATTACCCCAAATTAACCATTGTTAATTTAGTTATTTTTTCCTTTCAGTTGATTTTTCCTTTGTATGTGCACACATGAACGTATGTGGGCATAAGTGTGGGGCTGTGGGTGTACATACATACCATATACATATACATTCTATAGGTCAAGTTTATTTTTTTAATCTTTTTTTTAAGATTTTTTGAATTTATTTATGAGAGAGAGAGAGAGAGAGAGAGAGAGAAACACAGGCAGAGGGAGAAGCAGGCTCCATGCAGGGAGCCCAACATGGGACTCAATCCTGGGTCTCCAGGATCACACCCTAGGCTGAAGGCAGTGCTAAACCGCTGAGCCACCCGGGCTGCCCTATAGGTCAAGTTTAAAAATGGAATCACAGTATTTAGTTGCCTCCTTTTTAATTTGACAGTTTATAATGATTTTCTAGGCATTAAATTTTTTTTTCTTCATATACACATAGCACACACCATTACATCCTTTGGATAAACTTTAATTAATTTAACCAATCCACTGTATGTGCATTTAGGGTGTTTCTGTTGTGATTAACACTGCTTTGGTAAAATTCCTACGCTGAAATCTTTTTGCCTAAGTCACTGAGATTATATTTGTGTCAAAGGTATAAGGGGATTGAATGGTAAAAGAATGGCTGCCTAGCCACTTCCATAGTGCACTTCCACCTATGGAAGTGTTGAGGCTCTGATCCATCATATCAATCACAGACCCACAGTTTGGGGCCACAACAACGTGGTTCTCCCCAGTCTTTCTGTAGGTGGCCTCCTGCCCAGCCAGTGTGTGGGAAATTCTAGATTCTGGCCTCTACAAGGCATATTTCTCCATTCATCTTTTCCTTCCCAGCCACAGACCTCTACACCTTTGCAAGAAGAAATGGAAATGGCCCTGTTGAATGTTATTTATTCGCTTATTTGCTTGTTAGGTTTTTTGTTTTTTCATTAGATGTCAGGGAACAAGGAATGGAAAGAGATACCAAGGAACAAATAAAAATGTCCCAAGGGGTAGGGAATAGCCAGCAGGACCAGGAAATAGTAGCTGAAGCTGGAAAATAGGCAGAAGGGTCAGTAAGAGAAAGAGGGCTGAGGAACAGCTGAAGGGACCATGGTGCACTTACTGGAGATGGAGGATAGCCAAGGGGCCCAGGGGACAGATGAGAGTGCAATGGAACTGATGTAACGGGAGACAGAAGCCCAGAAGCCAAGGGCATCAGAGAGACCAGGAAATAGTCATCAGGGGCTGGGGAAGTGGAAAATAGGGAAAAGCCAGCAGATCCAAGAACAACAGAGGGATCTCAAAATAGAAGGAGGGACCAGAAGGCAGAGGGACCAGGTAATATCCAGAGGGATGAGAAAACAGAAGATTTGGCTAAAATGGGAACAGCAGATAGGTTTGGTGTTCTGGGCGGGAGCCTGTGGGACAAGCAACTTCACAAGGCACCAGGATTTAGGGAAGAATCTGAGGGGATAGAGAAAGGTAGAGGTACTGGGGGACCAAAAAATAGGAACGAATGGGAAGGGGATGGATAGCAGCCAGAGGAAGCAAGGACTAGCTGCTGAGGCTGTAGAACAGGTGGAGGGGTGAGGAGGAGACAGACCCATGGGACAGTTGGAAAGACAGAGAAAAGCCTCTCAGGTTGAGGAGTAGCTGAGGACATCAGGAGCCACATGGAACAAGGAATAGTCTCTGAGGTCAGAGAACAGCCAGAGGGAACTGCAAAGTTGTACTTGGCACTGGGCGTCTACTAGACATCCCAGGAGCTAACCAAAGGGCTAGGGGAAAATAAAAAGAGCATTAAAAGTTTTTCTGGTGTTGGAGAGCAGCCTGACCTACCAGAGAACAGCTAGAGGGACCAGAGAACAGCTGGAAGGCATAATATCCATTCCTGAAGTTAGTTAGCAGCCAGAGGCCCCATGTAACAGGCACTGGGGGTAAGTTGCAGAAGCAGAGGAGAGGTTGAGGAACAACTGGAGTGCCCTGGACTGGGGTGACAGGGGTTTCTTGGGATGTGGGACTTCAGTGCAAAAATAGGAAATGTCCTGGGCAAACGAGATAATTGTCACCCTACCCAGGAAACAACCAGAGGATCCAGCAAATAGACATGATGTAAGTGATGGAGAAGGTGAGAGTGCATAATCAAGCACAGTGGAGTGCACAGAACTAGGAGACTGGTGGTCAAGAGCCTAGGCTAGGAGCCAAGTCGGCCGGGTTGACCAGCTCTCTGCAAAGCATGGATTTCCCTGAAACCAAATGCAGGAGTATTAAGTGAGGGTGTCTTAGAAATGCACAGGGAAGAATTGGGATGGGACAGCAATCAGGGGACTCAAAGGACAGTCAGTCTGTGTCAACTGGAAGGAATAAGAAAAGCTTGTCAGGACCAGGGAACAGCCAGATGGACTAGAGCACAATCAGAATGGTGCCACAGATTAAGGATCAGCTAGAGGGAAAACTGTCAAAGGAAACACAGGACACTCAGAGACACCAGAGAGCAGTCAAAGGGAAGGAGAAATAGGAGGCGTGGAACAGTTAGAGGAACCCAGGGACGCTCAGGAAAGAGACCAGGGGGCACTCAGAAGGAGCAAGCAACATTTAGATGGAACAGTAAACAGACCAAGGAAGAGTACTATGGGGACTATACACAAGGAATAAGGACCAGCAGAGGGAGCAACAGGGAGAAGTAAGGGACAGGAGTGGCCTGGGTAAACAGAGGAAAGCAAGAAGGAGGAGCATAGGGGTACAGAGAACAGTCAGAGGGAGCAGGAAAGATCAGGGCAACCCCAGCCAAGGGCAAACATATAAAGAAGCTGGGTATCTGACCTCTGGCGGGGGGTTGGGAGGGCACAGTGAGCCAAGAACTCATTGCACACTTTCAGCCATCCTAGTAAGCACCATGGAAGCCCTTCAAGGCTAGGACAGGGCAGGATCATATCACAGGAGGTGATGTAGAAGTGTTCCTGGGCAGGAGTAAGGGCAGCCCAGAAGTGGAAATACTGAGCCCTAAGCCGACTGCAGGATGGGACAGAGCAGATGGCCAGGGACACAATGGATAGTGTGTGGTCAATCCTAGCATCCCAGCACACCTTAGGGATGAAAGCACATAGTGTGCTGGCTCAGATGACCCTGAAGTGAGACAGTGCTGTGTGAGTCACTGGAGAGCCGTGAGGAGCTAGAATGGGGATCCTCACCTAGAACGAGGCAGTCCTTGTAAGGATCCTGGTGGTGGTAGGCACACATGCCATCCTCCAATGGTAGAAATGGGCCAGAAAATCCAACCTTCTCATATGTGGCAGGTGAGGCTGGAATCTGGGTGAGTGTGTATTAGCAACTTTCTACCCAGATTTCTAGTGCCAAAATCCCCCTCCCAAAGCTTCTATTTTTTTTTTTTTGTGGGAAAAGGGATCAAAGAGGGGCATCTGTGGGCAGTAACCTTGTATATATTCATCTTGTATCTGTTAATGCTGATAATGCCTGTCACGGTCTTTGTGTACTTTCCCTGAGAACATGGCTTTAGTGACTCCTAGGGAGAGAGAGACAGATGAGAATGGTCTTTTGTCCACCAGCTTGGGCCACTGGAGGTGATAAAATGTTTAATGATGTCAAATGATGGAATATTTTCATTCTTTCATCCTGGATGGTAAATAGCCACTCCGGTCCTGCCCCCCACCCCCTGTGGTTCCTCCCCACTGTGTGACCCACACACCTGCTGGTCTATCCTGGGGTAACTGGCAAGCTGGTCAGGAGGACAGACAGTCAGAATGAGAGCTTCCCTCAAGCCTGACCTCCTGGTTGACTGGGTGATGAAGGGGGCATAGGTCAGATGTGTTGCTAGGGGCTCAAGTGGAGGTGCTCCTTTCAGCAGCCCTCAGG